TGACTAAATCAGTATCCTGATCAGCTCTATTTATATCATCCAAGTCTGGCAAGTGTGTGCAACACTTAACTGTTGCCTAGAAGAAAACCCCGTAAGAATTCTGGCAGATTCTTGCCTGGGAATTAGGGAAGATCCCATGATGTTGCAGGTTCAAAGCTTTGAAAGCTACTGAGGCACAGCTGGCTTCCATATACTGTAGCAAGGAAAACCTTTTTCCAGCTCTTATCGCTCATGGCTGTAGATGGTCCTGGATGAGACAGTAGAGCAGTTACTAAGGCAGTGCACCCTTCAATAAAGCTTGGAATAAATTTTTTGGGCTCTACACAGGTGCAGCATCTTTGTGCTATTCCTTAAAACAGCCCATCTTTTGCTAGTCCTTGAAAAAAATTGCCAATCCCATTAAAAATCTTTATAATTCTTAAAGCAACTGCTACTTTTATTTCAGGCTCATGCAGATGTCTGGAAAAAAAAGATTGATGAATGAATGAGAGGTGACATGCTTGCATAAGATCTGAAAAAATTCATTCAAATTATTTCTGGAGAGTGCAGAGCCTTAGTGGCTACATTCAAGATACATTTCTTTCAATGTGCACACATGGGCTGCTTCTGAGATTGGTCTGGAAACTGCAAAGCTGCAGCATCATATCTAGAATGCTGGAGGGGAGAGATCTATTTGTAAACTTGTCTGAAAGAGAAGCACTGATTGCTGCTGCACTGCTGAGTTATATTCCAAGTGTCCATGCTGACATTTTACCCATCTAGGCTCTGAATGTATTCTCTTACATGCATTCTCTTACACATTTCTCAGTCATTAAGGTCTACTGGGGATGCCCACTGGATGATATGACATTTGCCAAGAATTCACTAGGCAACAACTTGTAAAAGGCTGCTTTCTTTACAAGCATCCAGATATGTACATTATTTCTTTCTGCAGCTAGCACAGAAATATGATCTGCAGCGGGAACTTGAATTGCGACAATGGATTGAGGAAGCAACAGGGAAGCGCATTGGAGACAACTTCATGGAATGTCTGAAAGATGGAGTCATCCTATGCGAGTAAGACAACACAGAAGGAGGGGGAAGCTTGTTCCCCAAAGACTGAGGGTGGACAAAGAAGGCTTCACAGCATTAACTGTTTTAATTCAAATTAATTTTTTAATGACTACCTTTTTCTAGATGGGCATTTTCAGATATACTGTATGGGGGAAAAGAAATATCTCCTTTAAAAAAAAACTCGTACATGATTATTGAGGAACATTTTTATTTAGATTCACAGTTCAAACTATGCCAAGGATTCCTCATTGCCAAAGACAATGAATGACTTACTATAGATAATTTGATAAACCTGGATAATAAAACAAATAAAACTAAAATTACTTAAAAAGGAGATAAAGAAATCTGATGTATCCCCTGTGTTCAAAATTTTGATCCCTAAATATGTTCCCCCAATTCCAAGTAATGGAATAACTCAAGGATGCTTTAAATTTAAGACAGGGGACTGAAACACATTGCTTTTGGTGGCTTAGGTATAATGAAATGCATCAAAGATGGATTTTTTCCAGGTTATTTGGCAACTCTATTTACCATCTCAGCCAACTGGCAGAAAAGCAGATGTACCACTGTTTCCATTTTACTGCATTTGTTTTTATTACTATGAATATTAAACAATTTAAACATAACCAGTATTTGTACACACAGGTATAAGACTGCAATGCCAGCTCTATATGTTTAAAGCAATCTCAAAATATTTGTAGTATCACTGACCCACATCCCTTAATATTTTTTTAAATTCCATTAATTTCCAACCAAGAATCATGACTGAAAACATCTCCTAAGTTGCTTAATAAAGACACTACTTTTTTGGAGACCAATTAAGACGTTGGAGAATCTGCAGCTTTTAATATATTTAATTGATAGTGAATGCCTGGGGTTTTAAAACTAAGATTACTGAGCTGCACTGAGTCTTTTTTGAAGATGGAAAAATGATACAGCAAATTTCTTCTGACTGACCATTTCTTGAGTATATTCCATGGGTGAGCACTCATAAGTATTTTTGTTTAGATAGAACTTTTCAGAAGAAAAAAAACACATAGGTTGCCATTTCTGAATTACGTGGTATTCTTGCATCAAAGTAAATGCACAGAAGTCCTATATTGATGCTGAAGAAATAAATACCTTGGGGTAAAACTTTCCTTTCCCCCTCTCTTTCAGACTTATCAACAAACTCCAACCTGGATCTGTAAGAAAAGTGAATGAGTCTACCCAGAACTGGCATCAGGTACCATTCTCTCTTGCCTATGTGCAGATCAGTGCTACCTTTATATTATTAAGAAACTTTTACTAAGGTTCATGAAAAAGGTTATCATTATGGCAGCAGGAAATAGCTGAGCTTTTCTCTTTATTACACAGCTACTTGCTGTAAATAGTAATATATTGGCAACACAAACTAAGAAATGTTTCAACTAAAATAAAAAGGTTAAAGAAGTGAACTATTAACAAATACAAGTGTATTGGACAGAAATAAATAGTGAAATTCTATTTCAAAGTGTAATGAGCAAAGATATGCAGCCAAATATTGTGGGAGAAAGACTGGCTGATGCATTTGGGAGTATGAAGATCAATGAGGAGAGGAATTCCCTTCCCTGCTTTTTTGATCCAAATACTCCCTCTCAAAAGCAGCTTTTATTGCTAGAGTTCTGCTATGCAGTACATCAGCAGCCCCCAACTTTTTGGGTACCCAGGACCGGTTCCGTGGAGAGGTATTTCTGTGGACTGGAGGGGGCATGGTTTCGCATGCTGCCTACATCCCATGGATGAGGTTTCACTTGTTTGTGCGGCCTAGTTTCTGGCATGCTGGGGCCCGGTGCCGGTCCATGGACCGGGGGTTGGGGACCCCTGAAGTACATGTTGTGTGGCTGTTCTGATAGTACAGAGCAATTACCAAACAGGGCAGAATAACATTCATCTTTCTACTTTCACATCTTTTTACTAACTGTCACATCTTTGCTGACTGTAAAAAGAGGAGGAAGCACTTCTGGCTCATGAATCCACTCATTATTAGAAGAGTCCTTATGCTTGCACTGTTGCACTTGTGATGCATTATGTAGATGGCTACAATTTTTCCCCTTGAGTTTTGAGATAGAACTAAATCAGTCTTTCCCCCCATAATGCTTTTCAGACATGCTGGAATTACAGTTCCATGCCATATTGGAGAAGGTTGCCTTAGACCTTTACATTCCACCATCCACTTATTAGGAGAAGCATTATAAAGGAAACCATTCCTGGAGAACTCTCAATGATTGTAAATGATTAGTTGACTCTCCTGTTTTGCAGCTGGAAAATATTGGCAACTTTATTAAGGCTATCACAAGATATGGAGTGAAACCCCATGACATTTTTGAAGCAAATGATCTCTTTGAAAATACAAACCATACCCAGGTCCAGTCAACTCTGATTGCTTTAGCTAGCATGGTAAGTTGTTTTTCTTCAATAAACCCTGTATGATAACATGAAAGTGTTTCATAGATATCACCCCAATAATCTAATATTGGTTAACACAATCACCATATTGCAAATGTGAATGGAGCCCAAAATCACAGTGTGGCCTAAGATTTCATTCAAAATGACAGTCTAGCTTTTCACTACTAGAAGAGAATACCTGTTATACTGCCTCCGATCTACAATATCCCTTATTGATCTATAAGTCTTTTTTCAGAGGAGTTATATTGATGGGCAGGAGAAACCTCTTTTCAGTATCTTCAGTTAAATACTGAATTATAGAAGTACTAAGAGCAAGTACAGAACCCTTTCCCTTTGCACCTCCGTATATGCTCAGCCTAATTTTATACAGTTATAAGGAAGGTGCTGAGATTTCAGCCTGGACATCACAGAGATGATGTCTCAAGGAAATCATTTGCAGAACTAAACGGGTTTTTGATCCAATTTGAAATGAAATAACTAGGAGGTCTGAGGCTGGGGAAAACTTCCTGTTGTTCTCAACCCCACTGCAAAACAGACCTGTCTCATTCTGGCAAATACTGGAGAGAAACATCTGAAAGGATTTCTGATTGTCACAACACAGGCAAAGACAAAAGGCAACAGGGTGAATGTCGGAGTGAAATATGCTGAAAAACAACAGCGGAAATTCCTCCCTGAAAAGCTGAAAGAAGGAAGGAACATCATAGGACTGCAGGTGTGTAGCTTCGGTCATAGCAACTGTTCCCCTAAGATACAGATATTTTGTAGCATTGTCTGTAGGGAATAATTTAGGATACCTTGCTATACCTTCAAAATTAGTTTCTTTGTCCAAATGTGTATTGTGGTCAAATACATAATTACCATGGCAGTTCCACACAAGTGCTTTCATCCTTCTGCCCAAACTTCCCGAAAGTTTGAGATTGATCTGCAACATTTCTCACCCCAGTCAGCCTTGAAGTACCAAGAACTAGTCAATGCTTCCTCTAGTTAATTAACTGCAGAGACACAATGGTGCCAGTGTGTCTGCTATTCTTAGCTCATATGGATCAGCCAGGTGTGCATTAGGCAGTAAAAATGCTGATGAGAATTATGAACAAAACACTGAAAATTGCAGGGAGAGAAGCAACAGAAATTCCCTTTCTCCCATTTTACATTGCAGGGAAAGAAAATATGCTATTAGAAGATCAATTTCTTCTCCAAAATAGACACATCCAGGAGGCTAGATCCTAAGCATGCTTTGAGCCCACTGCTTAGGAAAAGAAGAAAAAAGATACATTTTTGTCAATTTCACATGAGCTGTTTTCACCTGGGTTATTGTGTGCAGGGTATCAAAACAATTTACTGCGTAGTAAACGGGTATCAGTAGATATTTTTTTTGTTCAGTGATATGCACCAAAAATATAGGAGCAATTCCTGTAAAGGTATGCCTGTAAAACTCTCAAGTCACTTCTGTTTAAGGGCTCAATGAATACCAGTGGAGAATTGAAAATGATTTTGTTTTGTAGGCTCCACCACTTTGAAATACATAACATTGTAATGCATGTGCAAAATGAGTGGGGCTTGCAATATGATGCTATTTTCATCATTCTGACCCCATCTGGCTCCCACTCTAGATGTCATTGATGCTATGCCAGCTGAAGCCTGCAGCTGGGAAATGGCAAAAAGTTTTGCCCACAGACTGAAAACAGACCACTCATGAACTTCTTCCAAGCTTCATCACTGGAAACATCAGTATTTTACGCTGCAGCCAAGCTAGAAATTAACAGGCTCAACTGGTGATAAGGAGAGAAGCGTAGGAGATTCAATTCTTGAAAGAATTCAGAAATGGTGCAAAGATTGTGGGTGAAGTGCCCTCAGTTCCATTTTATACCTGTCTCACTAAAACTGGCATATTGTTGTGTAAATATTATATTTGCCAATGTGATTTTCGCCAGTTTGTTCCCCAAAAAATTATCTCTAAGAATGTCATTAGTGCTTTGAAGCAAGTTTTCCTGCATTAAAATCACTGCTGAATAGCTAAAGGAAACAGAAGACATGAAAAGGACCAATTCTTCACTTGTGATTTACAGTGACACCATATAGCTGTCTTCATATGGAGTGTTTTATTATCGGTCATGGCTGAGTGATGTTACATAATATAAATCACTAAGGAGAAAACGGAGAAAAGGTCTAAGTGACAGAATGAACAGGAAGCTTTTAACCTATATATAAAATAGAAACTTGGCAAAGACAGAATGATGAGTCTAATTGTCAATACTGCATTCTTCTTAGATGGGCACTAACAAGTTTGCCAGCCAGCAAGGTATGACAGCATATGGCACACGCCGACACCTTTATGATCCAAAGTTGGGTGCAGACCAACCTCTAGATCAGGCCACAATCAGTCTACAAATGGGAACTAACAAGGGGGCTAGCCAGGTAAGAAATCTGAATGGAAAAAATGGATTACTGAGTTGATTTTGATACGGTTACCTGTTTTCCCCCTCATTCTTCCACTGGAACATCAACAATTTATTGACTAGCAGAATTACCACAACTGCGTGTACTATAGCAGATACACTGCTTCTATCATAGTGTAATCTCCATGTAGAAATAAAGGATAGGTTCCTCCTTTGCAGTTTCTGTATACTTCTGTATGCTTATTCAGATAATACTAGGCTCTTCAGATTTGAAGACAAATAGGTACTTCAGGGCACATGGTTTCTATATACAGCTATTTTCAAGCTGTATGCAGCAACCATAGAGCAACTTCCGTGCAGCTGCTTTAAGAAGTTAGACAGGTGCTATGCTCATGCCCATGCATGCTCCGAAGCATCTGTTTGCCTTTGACTCTGAAGCATTTCACGTCTATGTGGCTGGAACATTCCTAAGGTTTCAGACATACACGATCGCTGTGTGAAACTAGGTAACTGTATCTAGAACACTTTTATGTAGCTTGTGTTTAGGCCTCACTAAAACACAACCCTCAAATTCTTCCAAACATAAAATTCTTGTTCCTGTTTGTACATCAATATTTAATTTGGGAGCATGTGATTCCTTGGCTTTTGGTCTCTGAAAACATGTGAACTGAGGCTGAAGGAAGTTCAAGCTAGGCAAAGACCATTATCTCAAGATACGTTTGACATAAACAAGTCATACTTTGCTCTTTCCTCTAAGAGTAGTGTAGAAATTAGGTACTCAAATCTCAAAATGTTCATTTTTAGCTCTTAAAAATCAAGATAAAGAAATGTTTGAGGTATGTTAGAATGTCAATTACTTCATCCTGAGATGTATCAATTAGCAAATAAATGTCTTACAAGGCAAAGAGCCAAATTATTTTCCTTAGGTGACATATTTTCTTCAACACAAAGTTTTAGTGATCATATTAAATACCAACTGGCAGGTATATGTGTATGTGTGTGCGTGGGTCATTTATCAATTGTTCCAGTCCTTTCACACTTTCTCCAAGTAACTGCTTTTTACTTTTCTATTCTTCCCCGTTTTTCCTCTACTGCACCTCAGGCAGGCATGACAGCTCCTGGAACCAAGAGACAAATCTTTGAGCCCACCCTTGGCATGGAGCACTGCGACACCCAGAATATCTCCCTGCAAATGGGCAGCAACAAAGGAGCCTCACAGCAAGGCATGACTGTGTATGGGCTGCCGCGGCAAGTCTATGACTCCAAGTATTGTCTCACGCCCACCTATCCTGTAATTGGAGGAGAGGATGAGGACCAATATAACCACAGCCATCATAACTTCTACAACTCTGAATAGCCAGCAGGAGTTGTGGGACAGATATAGAGACACCAGCACTGCAAGGCACTTCCTAAAAGATCCATCATCATGTGATTATTTTAACCCAGGAATATAAGAAGATTCAGTTCCCTAAATTGCTAACCAACTCACTAAGGACTCCTTAATACATGCCAGAGCCAGACTTCCCCATCACTGAGCATTAAAGCTTCACCTCGATATCTTTCACGCTTTGACTTATCAACTACTGTCACTGCTTTTGAGCGTGCACTAATATGGCTCAAAACTCTCAGGATGAAAGATCAAATAATAAAACCAGTAAGTTGAGAGAAGTAGAAACAAAAGGATGAGTCCTCTTAATTTGGCTTCTCAATTGACAAAAAGCCCTGGCAACTGTCAATCATTATTTCCCAGTGCCAGCTGCTGCTAATGTTTTGGATCAATGCAGAGGCAGGCAATGAAGGTACAACCTGTAAAATTGTTAGCTCCTGCACTCTATTTTGTTTTCATTAATTACACAAATTGCTTCAGGACAAGCCACATTTTTTGAACTGCTTAGATATAAAATAGCAAGTTCTCCATGTGCTAACTTTGCCAAAGGCTCCAATCACTTCTTTCCTAAAACACACAAAGTTTGTGCAAGAGCAGTGGCAACCTGAGCCAGCCATTGACTTCTTGGAAAGCAAAAACTTGTGAAAAATGTGTATGGGTGGAGAATGATTGCAGGAGGCTGGACACACCAGCCAGGCAACACCACCAGAGTAACATAAATATGCCTTAAGATCTGTAGATGACCAATGTGAGGTCATTTGGAAAAAATGGTGCAGAAAGGGAGATGCAAAGTTAAACCAAGCACCTCTGCAATTTTAGGCAGAAACTGTCTGGAAACTGAACAGCTAGTTGCCCAAGAATACAAACTTTTCTGCAAAACAGCTCAATGCTTTTTAATAAACCTGCTTGCTTGCATATTACATGGATAGGAATATCTTGGCAATACACAAATGTTTCTTTGTACTTGCCTTACTTATCTCTCATTAGTCAGCATGTCACTACATTACCTCTGATTTTATTTATCCCATTCATCCCCATGCACATATTTAATTTGCAGTAAATAGTAGACATTTGTGTGTTTGCATACAATCTAAGAATTTAAAGGCATCGGAAGTTAGGTAAAACTAACTGAACATAGGTTATACAGGAACCACAATTATTTTTAAAGCATTCTTCTCCTGATTTATGTAAATAGTCATGTGCCTTGTACAAAGATAGAATCATCTACCATAAAGCCAATACTGTGCAATTCAAAGTTTGAGTTATAAGCCCAACAGTATACAATTCACACAAAAGTAGGATTCACTGGTACTTGCCTGTGCATCTAGCTGTGTCCTGCCTTTCTTCCAGGAACTCAAAGGAAGCATCCTTTCCACCACTTTCTCCCATGTTAAGATAGATTGTGAGATAGCCTGGGCTGAGAAAAAGAAATTGGCTCAAAGTCGCCCAGAATGAACTTTTCTGGGCTACTCTACTCCAATACCTAGAACATAACATCACACTAGGTCTCACTTTTTGCTGCCCATGAATCTGTAATTTATGCATATTAAAACATTTTTTCTTTTAACTGATCACAATTTTACTCAATTATAATCTAATCCCTGCACTTGTAGTTCAGGATTGGTATGCCTGTCATCTATATGTATATTTAGTTGAGGAATGGCTGGCTTCACTATTTTTTTTTCTAATGCCATGTTGTCTGGTAATTATCTAGAACTAGAGGAATATTTGCTCATTTTCCAAATTAACATTTGGAAAAGTGGCATAAATATATACTACTGAAAAGCTAATAGGAGTCAATGAAAGCACTTGCCCTTTATCTTCCTAAAAAAAAATCCACATCCTTCCTACAGTTGCAGGTGTTCTGCATGCTGAACAGCTAAAGGCACACTTCCCTTAAAACAAAAACCTATAAAAAGGTATGTTTCATTGTAATGTTATGCTAAAATTTACTTCATTTCACTGTGGCACAATAAAAAGAAGAGAAAAGGGGGCTTTTAAAATATTATTTTAAATGCTATTTAACACATATTCTGATGTGTCTGTTTAAAAACAAAACAAAATGAAGATGTCACCATAACCCTTCCTATTACAACCTGTCAGATCATTTACTTTAGTGGTTCTCCACAATCTCCAAGGCCTTTTGTAACCTTTGAATCTAAGATATTGCAAGAGAAGACAACCACACACAATTTAATTATTCTGTGAAACCTCTATCAGCTAAGCCATTTGTTTCTCCAAATGTTTGAATTTTTATATAAGCATCTCTAATGGAAGCAGTCAGCACTGCAGAATGTGCTAAAGGCAAAACCCATTAGATTTGTTACTCTTAGTATGAGATGTGAAACTACATGATCATGAATACACTCTAAATTGCAGTATAATCAACAGCATGAAAAAGCCTTTCAGCAAATGAGTTATCATTAAAAGTTTTTGGTCCTCTTGAAACTAAACATAAAATTCAACATAGAGGACAGTCTCTGGTCATTTGAATATTTCTGGAGGAACAAACTTTCAAAATACTGCAGGTCTGTATGTAAGATTGGGAAATTTAATGTATTTGTATCTGTATCTCTATCTGTAAAGTAACAGTAGCAACCATCACTGTATTGTTGCCAAAATCATTACTGATGTATGCATATAGACACGAGTTAATTTTGCATATTTGGAATAATTGAGAATATTCTAATGAAACACAGGCTTAAAAGTGAAATAATATTTCAGTTTTTAACACTTTGTCGTAGCAAATCTGCTCAGTGACTTTTCAAACAATAAATTATACCCAAATCAACTGATTTTCATATAAACCAATGGACAGAATTGCAAATAAAAGCCTATTTAGTATGCCCCATCATTGCTGATGTTCAATTCAAGGCAATTCCAAAGAGTGATCCTGTGAGCAGGTGCTGTCCCTAAGTATACATTTCACAATATAACATATCCAGACTAGACTCATACAGAAGATTAAACAGCTGAATTAACAATTGTGAGCCATGGAGAGTCATTTGCTGAGATGAGCAGCTATAGAAATCAAATAAATAAATAAAACAATGAAACACTTGTCTCACTAGGTGAAGTAGTTTCAGTTCTGCCATCACACAAGGACTGCCATTTTACTAACCAGAAAAAAATTAAGTAACTTTATCAAAGGAGAGAAGGATTCTACTGTCAAAACTCCAGGGTGAAGCAAAAACTGTCAAGTATGTTGTTAATCCAGGTAGGAATAAAAGCACACCGTAGATGACACCTCCTTGCCTTGGTTGTGCTTCCAGTATCTGACTTACATAACTATTCAGTTAGTGTGGTGATATCATTAGCTTCTTAATAAGCTGCTGATTCATTTCCAAAATGATTTAGAATCCTGGAGCAGAGACCCACTGGAAAAGTTGAATACATTCACATGACAGCTTATAATAATAAGATAACAGCTTATTATTTAAAAGATTTAACACTAACAATCACTTAGCTCCATTCTATGCATCCTGAATTTCCAGTTAATATAAACCCAAAGATTTATACAGACACTGGGAAAAAGTGAC